GAGTTTTTCAGAAAAGATTTTGGCCAGAGAAGTTAAATATTGACAATTTCCCTTCCTTCCCCAAAAGTAACCTATCCCAGGTAGACCCCAGTCTCTGAACTGACATTAATCCCAACTAGGACCCAATGGCTACTGACCTTGGCAGCAGTGGAATGGCCATGGCAACTGAATATGGCTTCCAAACTGGGCCAGTAGGTCCATATCTCTTTCTGCAGCTGAAGAATAATGCAGGTGTTTCCCTGGGAGAACTGCAGCTCTGTGTCTGAGTTCATCCTTCTGGGCTTCTCCAGGGATTCCCGAACTAATGTCATCCTCTTCAGTCTCTTCCTCTCCCTCTACCTCTCCACACTCCTGGGCAATGGACTCATTGTCACCTTGATCCACCTGGACTCCCGCCTCCACACACCCATGTACTTCTTCCTCAGTGTCCTTTCCCTGCTGGACATGAGCTATGTCACCACCACTGTGCCCCAGATGTTGGTGCATCTGGTCTGCCAGAAGAAGACCATTTCCTATGTTGGGTGTGTGGCCCAGATGTACATCTTTCTGGTGTTGGGCATCACTGAGGGATGGCTGTTCTCTGTCATGGCCTATGATAGGTATGTAGCCATCTGCTCTCCACTCAGGTACAAGGTTATCATGAGCCCTTGGCTGTGTGGGGCAATGGTCATCTTTTGTGGACTATGGGGTGTCAGCTGTTCCCTAGTCTACACTGTCTTCACCATGCGCCTGCCCTACTGTGGCCCCAATGAGATCAACCACTTCTTCTGTGAGGTGCCTGCTGTTCTGAAGTTGGCCTGTGCAGACACATCCCTCAATGACAGAGTAGATTTCATCCTGGGCTTCATCCTTCTCCTGATACCACTTTCCTTCATTCTGGCTTCATATATCCGTATCTTCATTGCAATTCTAAGGATTGGTTCCACCCAAGGGCGGATCAAGGCCTTCTCCACCTGTGCATCGCACATCACTGTGGTCACCATGTTCTGTGGACCTGCCATGTTTATGTACATGAACCCTGGGGCCAATGCTTCCCCAGAGCGGGACAAGAAACTGGCTCTGTTCTACAATGTCATCTCTGCCTTCCTCAACCCCATTATCTACAGCCTCAGAAACAAAGATGTAAAGAGGGCTTTCCTCAAAGTAACAGGCTGGGGCAGGGTCCCTGAGTAAGGCCACTGGAACACAGATGGCTACAACCAGTTCTGAAAGAAGAGGGTCTATGGCCCTTCTACCATATCCAAAAAGCAGACAGGCAATAATCATTCACAAGTGGTTAGAAAACTGAGGTGCAGAGGTAGGTACAAGTTATGGTCGCGCAGATGGCTCTAGACACTAGGCGACCCTCAAACATTAAGGGACACAACCCCAGACAGACTTCAAAGCATGACATGTGACTGATTCTTCTCTATTTCCGTGGGAGCATCAAAGGGTCTGGCACAAATGAAGTTAACTCATTATGTAAGTTAACTCCGGTTGGCTGGGACAAGATGACTCAGAGGACCCCAGATCAATAACTTTCTTTCTCAGTCAGGAGAAAGACTAGATCTAAAGAAACATAGTCATAGGAGAAAGGAAAAGTAACTTTAGGAATAGGACTGAGGGGTTGGTCACTGTCCATTCAGCACTGTCTAGGGGAGTTTGGGCCCCAGGATACAGGATTCATTCTGTCCCTGGGGAGGTGAGCCACTGCTGTGGGAAAGAGATATTTTGAAGGGTCTCTCAGTACACAGATGAAACATAATCCAAACTACATCATAGTGTATAAGAGCCAGACTCTTTGGTATCTATAGAATTGGGATGACAATAACAATAGCAGACTAACACCTTATAGGGTTGTTGTGACAGGTAAAGTCCTTACAACAGTGCTTGACACATTGAATGCTCCATATAAACATGGAAACTCTTTCTATTCTAATTTCATTTCCTAACACCACAGTTACCAAGCAGACATCTGAGACCCTTTCAGCCGAGAGTAAATGGCTATTCTATTCTTGGGGAAGGGATAGCTAACATTATAAATGAAAGAGCTGGCATTTGTTTACACTTCAGTCTGCTGTGGATTTGGTTAGCTTGGGTCTGCCTCCCAATAGCTCATGAACTTGGTCAGCAAAACTATGAGAAAATTACGACAGGCCCTCAAGATATAGCATGAAGAGGTTCTGTTGACAACCAGCCAACACCCTGGGAGATATCATCACTAATATTCCACTTTAAAGCTTTTAATAAACATTTGTTCAAATGTGAACTGGGTAATCATTGGAGTACTTGAGTCAAGAGGTTGCTGAGAGGATGGTAGCTGGTGGTGGTCATGATGGTGGTGGCTTCCCTTCCCAATGCCAAAACCATTCACCCATGGCCTCAGCCCTCAGGGTTCCTTGCACCTTGGACAAGGCACAGACAAGTTACTCATTCCCCTTACAATACTCCTATACTAGCGATAGAAAAGCCCAACGGGTCCTATCACTTAATTCAGGACCTACAATTCATCAACACCTCCGTTAGGCCCATACATCCTTTGGTTCCCAACCCATAGACCCTGCTGTCTCAGATCCCCCACACTGCCACCCACTTCTCGGTCATAGATTTAAAGGATGCTTTCTTCTCCATTACTCTTGCTCCCGAATCACAAGATCTTTTTGCCTTTACCTGGACAGATCCCACCACCAGACATTCTTGACAACTAATCTGGACTGTCCTTCCCCAGGGATTTTGAGATAGTCCACACCTCTTTGGACAAACCTTGGCCTCCGACCTCCAATTTTTTCACCTCCAGTGCCCTGAAACCACCCTCTTGCAATATATTGATTATAGTCCTAGTCCTCTCACCTATAGGACTCGGTCACTAGAAGGACGCTTTCCCTCCCCTTCCTCTCTCTCTCTCCCCTCTTTCCGGCCCTGGGAGTAACCGACCTCTCCAGGAGGGGTCCCGAAAAGCCTTGGCCAAGGTCTCCCATGGCTCCGGCTCCGTCCAGGATGAGACCTTCAACTGTCAGGATTCGGTACGACCAATCTCTGCAGCTTGAACCTGCCACTTAGGCACTCCTGATTTTTGCTCTAGCGGGGACGCCCCTTTTGCCAATGAATCAGTTTCCTCCTTCTCTCTTACTACGTTTGCGTCCTCTTCCCTCCTCCTTACATGGGTAATGTGTCCACTGTGCAGGTCGACTCTCCCCTACAATGCCTCTTGGATCAAATATAGCACCCAGGCCTGGCCCACTTATCCCTTAGACAACCAAAGCAGATGGCCTCTTTTTGAGTCCCTGGATCCCTCCATTCTAAGGGATCTCTTCCAGGCTTTCTTCTTGCTCTGATCCAATCCTTTTCTCTGCACCTCTTGCAAACTTCTACAAATTCTTCTAGCCCGTCCAAAGGGCGCTCAACAGATGACACAGTTCTCCTACTTAATTTCTTGGCCTTAAAGGGATATCGGGCCTCTCCACAAAAGGCCCAAATAGCATGTAAAGAGGTCACATATCTAGGGTTCTCTATCTCTCAAGGGAAAAAGGCCATTACAGTAGACAGAAAACAGCTTATTGTGTCTATACCTACACCAAAGACCAAAGATGACATGATCTCCTTCTTGGGTTTGGCTGGATACTTCAGGGCCTGGATTCCTAATTTCTCCCTCCTCGCCAGGTCACTATATAATCTGGCCAAGGGCCACCAAGATGAACCCCTACCCTCAGCAGTAGGAAAGCCCTTTACAATCCTTAAAAAGGCCCTCCTCCGGGCACCTGCCCTGCATCTCCCTGACCTCTCCGGACCCTTCACCCTCTATGTACATGAAAAACAGGGACAAAGTCTGGGCACTCTGAATCAGGAATATGGCTCCACTTTTGCACCAGTGGCCTACCTACCCAACCCCACAGTCAGGGGCTGGCACCCATGCCTCAGAGCCCTAGCAGCGGCCCATGACCTCCAGAAAGAAGCACACAAGCTTACCTTTGGTTCCCCGCTAACCATCTCATCTCCTTACCATCTAAAGGATTTCCTCACTTACAAGGGACTACAGTCACTTCCTCCTTCCAGGGTTCTATCCCTCCTTGTCTCTCCTTGAAAATCCCTCCATCTCTTTTCAGCCCTGCTCTCCATTAAGCCCGGCGCTCCTACTCTTGTCATCCCTCCCCAGAAGATCCCCTCAAGCTCAGCCTCTCCCGTGTCTCCATCCTTAGCCCAATACCTAATGCTCCCCCTCATTGCTGGCCCCTCTTGGGTCCTCTATTCACCCTATGTCTGGAGATTCAAAGCAAGTAAACCTAAGGGCCCCCTCCAGGCAGACCTCCTTCTCCTCTTTACAGACCCCCTACTTGCTTGGATCTGGCAGGTAGTGGGACCATTGTGTGTTGTCCTTCTGACAAACCACTTAGGTGTCCAGAGCATGGTGACCCCTGAATAAGTGTGAACTACCTTTATCATAAGAGAGCACTTTATGAGTTGCCTTCTGGGCCTAAGGAGGAACATGTGTGTTTTGTTTACCCTCCCAGTTTCGTAAGAATTCCAAGTATCAGTATTTAAAGTTGAGGTGTTTCACATAAGACCTGGAGAGATCTGACTGCTCTCAAAGGGAAATCTGGTAACAATGGGCCATGGTCCTCCCTTGGCCGCCTTCGTTCAGAGCTTGGGAGAAGCTGCCTTCTTTATTACAAAGCCCGTGCTTTCTTGGTGTGACTAGGGAAAGCTGGGAACAGTGATAGAAGTGAGAGAAGCAAGCTGGTTTGGATATTTCGAGAAAAGTAGAGAAGAAAGCTGGTTTTAGAGAACCCAGGTAGAAGAGAGTTTGAAGAACAGCCTTAATAGAGAGGGGAGGGAATTGATTGGACTAGGAATGAAGAGTGGAATTGGGGGTGTTAGGTGCAGGACAAGCTGAATAAGTTGTCTGCAGGGCATGCCAAACAAAGTTAGCTGCAGGATGACCTGGCTTTTCAAACCCTCTGTCTGGTTCTTTATCACCTGTTTGCTTCAAGCCCAAACGCCCAAGCCTCCGCTCAAAGCTGAACACTAACCCCCCTTGTGCCAACAAGGTAGCTTGCAGACCCAGAGACCCCATTAGATTTGGGCTATAAAAACTCCCTGTGCCTGTTCCTTCCCTTTATCATAAAGTTCATTCAGACTCAGGTGGGTAAAAAATTTCTAATCAAGCTTTTAACCAGCTTCTCCTCAGGAATTACCAACTCCTGGCTACTGATGATACCTCCAGTCGAGACCTATGTCAAATGGACTGAATCATCATGGATCTGTGGTGGCAAGGAACCTTCATTTATCTGGTTCCTGAAGTTATACTGGTCCTCTCTGCCTTCCTGTGGGGATTCTTACTTCCCTTCTCTCTGATTCTCCCATGCTGCCCCATCTCAGCAGGAAGCAGCCAGAATGAGTTGACGCCCACTCTCATTTAATAATAAAGAGGGGGGAATGTTGGGAGTCACCCCAGCTCCAAAGACTAACTTCCCCATCCCCCGAGAAGAGCTGTCCAATGGTGAGCCCTGCTGGCTTACATGATCCTTACCCACCAATCAGACTAGCCCTGCTGACTCACATGATCCTTACCCACCAATCAGAAAGCACCTCATGCCAACTGTCAAACCATTAAACTGTCATAACTGTCAAACCATTCCCAGCTCTATAAATATGCATAGCTGTTCCTCAATAAATGGGCATTTTCTCTGAAGATGAGCCTTGTTCATTCTTTCAGTGATGATGATGGCTTCCCTTCCCAATGCCAAAACCATTCACTCATGGCCTCAGCCCTCAGGGTCCCTTGCACCTTGGACAAGGCACAGACAAGTTACACATAGAACCTTAGGAAATTTTACTGACCACACAGTTTATCATTCCCTGAATGGCAGCAACACTCCAGTGAAGATTAACTTGAAAAGAGAAGCTTTCTCAAGGGGATCTCCCTACCTTTATAGAATCCCCTCCAAATTTTACCCTCACATTTTCTATTGCTAGAGGAAAAAAAGAGACAGAAGTTCCTAGCTAATCCTAGTTGGCATTCCTACATGCCACGTCCGTAGGACTATCCTACTAGCCTAGACATTTTCTGCTCCAAACTTGGCTTTGACTTTTCAAAGTTCAGATCACCCAATGGACACAAATGACAGATAATTCAAGGAAATACTGCTGTGGAGAAACTCTGTGAGATGCTGGCTTTGAACACAAAGGAAACTTAAAAACCCTTCATAGCTTATCTCTTTAAGGTCAGAATTATTGAACCTTTATCAAATGACAGTCTTCAGTCTTCAATGAAACTGTGATGGTTCCAATGAAGGTGATAGAGAATCAGTGCAAGCAGAGGTCAGTGAAGGTAGTTTGAACTCAGTAAGAAAAGTACTAATGATTGTGGTGTTGGTGAGAGTTACAATAGTTATTCTTGGTATAAGATGAATATTTGGCTTTGCATTTCACAGCTAGGTATAGAGCAATTTCTGAATACACTTGAGGAAGTAGTGAGGAAGAGGGCCTCAGGGAGATGCTAGGGGAGAGAGAGAGAGAGAGAGAGACCTGGCAGGACCCATGTAGAAATATTGTTTAATTCAAAAAGCCCCCAAATCATAGGAGAATGAGTACTGGAAATATCATAGGGGTTGATGTGCTATCTTGCTACATCAAGATTAGATCAGGTGGTACCCTGGGAAGAGATGGCAGGACAAAGGTGCCACAGTCTGGCTGGGCACAAATGCCGCAGTCTGGCTGGGCACACAATCACGAGCCACCACACAGCTTGTAGATTCAAACAGCAACTCTTTATTCCCGAACTCACACCAGCCGTCTACAATCACGTTCTGGGGAAATCCACGTTCTCTGCCCAAATCCACCTCCACTGGGCTTCTATCTCCAAAATATACTGTCTGAATCCCGTGAGAACTCAAGGGGAACTCAGGCAGCAGGATACGCCCTATTCCCAGCAGGAATAATCTTAAACCTTAAACCTGGAACCTAAACCGGGAACACCCTAATCCGCCTTGGTCCTTGAGCAAGGTCACCTACATTCAATGTCACTGCAACATGGGGTACGCTGGCAAGGAAATTGTCATACCTACTTGGCTAATGGCTCCCAGCACAAAGGTATGTAATTAAGCCAGAGAACAGATAAATAGGAGTTGAGGATGAAAGGGAACTGAGGGAGCTGCTAGAAGAAAGTGAGATACAGGAAATTTAGACTTCAGAGCAGGAAATGTTCTAGGTCATTAGGAAAAGGTCCACCCAAGGATGCTGTGCCTGGGGGAAATTCAGATTTGGGTAAAGAGAGGAAGGAAACATTCAGTGGAGAAGGTTTGAATGTGCCTTAATTTTAGGAAAGGGATTTCATAGAGAACCTTCAAGAAAAGGAGACCAAGCTCAACTTGTGAAAGAATATATGGGATGGAGCCCTAGCGAGGACATGCTGGGTGATAATGGTAAGAGATGAGCAGAGGTGACAGTCTGGAGTCCCAGCTCCCCGTTTCTGGCCTAAGGACTTTAAATATGACCTCTAATTCCTGGGAGCATTTGTTTTCTCAGTTTCCAGGTTTTCAGTAAAATCCAGATAATGATACTTTGAAACATTAGAGAAACTGCATCCCTTTGGGTCCAATCAGGAGACATAAAGGACCCAGTAGGCAAAATAAGGAAAAGGTAACATAATTAAGTATCAACGATGAATGAATGGGACCCAAGGAACAAGAGAGAGGGGCTGAGGAAGGACAGACTTGGGAGGGGTTAGACCTCATTAGAGGAGGTGTGGTTCAAGCACTGAATTGCAGAGGAATTAGCTGGTTAGCCAGGCCCCAGCTGACAGGCAAACTAACTAGGGGGCAGGCCATCAGCAAGCAGGGCTAGAGACAAACAGCTGGGTGCTGGCTGCCATAGGGAGCACAAGGTCTTCACAGTCTGTGGGCCTTACAGAAAGAATGACGTCTTTGTGGGACACTACATGCTTCAGTCCCCATGGGAGGGCTTGCTGAATGAGTCCACCATGGAGCAGCACGCAGGCCACTCTGGGACTAGATGAGGGGCCAGGCAGGTGCCTGACTGAGTTGGAGATCCAGTTTCCATGTTGAGAGGGTGGCCAAGATCTGAGGGGACAAGGTTGCTGGGCATTCTGAGCCTGTGGCCCAGGCTGGAAATGGACAGAGACTCCCTGGTAATTCATTATCCCTGACTTCCTTTCCTCGTGGATCACTCTGCTCATCCCCTCATGAGCTGACCCTCCCACTTGCCGGCCTTTCCCCAATTCTACCCAGTTTGTCATCTAAACTCAGCAGCATAACCAACACCCACCCCCCACCCCAGGACTCTTTCTGGGATGCCATCACGTGCTCTGCTGCTCTCCCGAGGGAAGGGTCCCAACCACACTCCTGCACTCTCCCCTGTTTCTCCCACGCCCTTTCCAGCCATGGGCTCCTAAAGCCACTCCCACAAGGAGGTTATCACCCCTAAATCTGCACCACTTCTCCAACCAGAATCTCACACTCTCACTGCATTGAGCACAAAGTACACCATTCCCAGAGGACTTTCGGGATCTGGCCTCTGCCTGACTCCTGAATTTGTCTTTCCTGTCCTGCTCACTGCCAGGACCACAAGAACCTTCCTCCTGTTCACCAGATCATGCAACTCCTTTCCTAACGTGAGGCCTCTGAACCTGGCTTACCCTTCACTGAAAGTGCCTCCTCCTGCTCATTCCTTGCCTGACTCCTTCTCGTCCACAGGTATCAGCTAAATCTTAACTCCAAGCCCTTACTTGTCTACTCTGGGTGAGTAGGTTTCTGTCCTCTAGTTTCTCTACCACAGAATGCTGTTTGTTTTCTAAAGAATTTTGCAACCTCATTTTCTAGTAACTGACCTTGATTTCTCTATTAAGTTTTTGTTCCACTGGTAGAAATAATATGAATCTTCTTGGGGCAACCCTCTGTTATTAGTCAACTCAGGCTAATAACACCATAACTAGCTGGGCTTAAATAACAGAGATTTATTTTCTGGAAGCTGAAAGTCTGAGTTCAGGGTGTCAGCCCCGTCAAGTTCTGGTGGGGGCTCTCTTTCTGGACTGTTGATGGCCACCTTCTCACTGTGTTCCCATGTGACAGGGGGACAGAGAGGAAGGCGAGGAGGGAGGGTGAGAGAGAAAGCATTCTCTGGTGTCTCTTCTTATAAGGA